ATAGCACACATCAAATTTGTGGTGCCCACACACAACAAGAACTTAGGCCAAATAATATTCTTTAGTTGCATGCATAGTAAATTAAAGTTAATTTTGAGACAAGGTATGTTTTTTGAACATGAAAGTGGTAAGCCGTGAAAATTGACCTTTTTCATTTATTATATAAAAAATATATTTTTTTTACTTAAATTGAATAAATTAACAAAAGAGAAAGAAATTGATATGTTTATAAAGAAATTGACATGTTCATCGATCTTTTTTATGAGTGCATTTCACTGCATGCTTTCCTATGCTGGTCAAGAAATTTTTGTCACATGCACCAAACCTAACCTTATAATTTTGACTTATGTACAGATAGTTAATCTAACAGGTCATATATTAATTCTTATATGAGGTGACAAGATTCAAATAAATAATTAGGTAAGAAAGGATATTGAAGATTTTTTCTTAGACAGGTAATATATTAATAGAAGAACTCATTTATATTTTACAGATACATGAACACACAGGAACAGAGAAAAAATGTAAAAAATAAAAATGGTTTTGTACGTATTTTACAGTACTTTTTTTTGTAAACGAAACATTTAGAAATAAAAGAAAAAAAATCTTAAGAAAAATTGCGCAAACACATGGGAATATAATTAAAACATGCAAGCTAAATCACATAAGATAACATGTAAGAACAACTGAACAACAAAATACGCTCAATCAAATCCAAGAAATAAAAAATACTAACCAGAAATTATTTTTCTTGTCCTGTTCTTGTAGAAGAGAGATAGAGAGAGGAGAGAGAGTCACAGAGATGGAGAGAGATAGAGAGAGAGAGATACAAAGAGAGAGGCTTCTTGCTAATATATATAGAGAAGGATGATGATGAATTTTTATTTGTATATATTATTGAAAAAAAAGAGAGAGAAATGGTTAGAAAAGTGCATTCAAGTAGTTAATGAATTTGGTAGTGAGAGTGATGTGCATATTCTTTTTAATAAATATATTTTACTTTGAATTTGCAAACCGGACCAACGAAAGCTACTCAGTTGTTCTAGTTTTATTGCACACGAAAAATTAAAAACAGGATAATGCAAATATACATATGTGCAAATAGGAAAATTTTAATTAAGAAAAGTATACACAAACATCAAACTTAGTATACTAAATATCAAAAACATAAAAAAAAAAAATCATGAGGAATAGAATAAAAGTCAAATTATTTTAATTTATATATTACGGCATGAACGCGAGCCGAAAATTGAAGTCGTGCACATGACTTTGAACAAAAATTGAGTAAGCAAACAAATTTCAATAGATCATGTTTGATTGACATAAATTTTGATAGAATAAACACTTAATAAGATTAATTAATTTTACACTGTCACATCAATTTTAAAATTAATATTTTTGACATTTACACATTATTATGTCATCTATTACGTTAAAAAATTACGTTGAAGCAGCTTTATCCAATTTCGGTTTAGCTGATATTTTTAATGGTCGCACAAAAAAAAAAAAATGAGTATATATAATATGGAGATAAAATTTGTACATATCCTTGGTAAAAATGTTATTGATTACGCGTGGGGTTGGCTGTTTATGGGATCAAAGGACTGTTTGGACGGCGTGATAACAAAATTTCACGCCACCCCACAATAAAGGTTACACATTGAGGTTTTTTATTTATTTAATCATTTTATTTAGTACCACATTTAATTTACACTAAGCACTTCGAAAATTTATATTTTGAGAAAAAAAAAAAAAGAAACTAAAAATAGGAGAATTGTGTGCTGATCAACCCAAATAAATAATAATGTCCAGCTTGGGTTTGTCTGGTTGGTGCGCCGCCCTTGGACAAATGGCACCAATGGTAAGGTGACACGTGGGCAGAGAGGAGCTGTCCACATCAGGAGGTTAAAATCATTTGTAGCCTTATCGGGGGATGAATAAGTCTGAGGAAAGAAAGACATCCGTTTTTAGTGCTGTTTAATTAGAGCATCTCCAATGGCACGTGGATTGCCCCATTTTGTTGCCACATGACATAATAAAACCTACGTGGCCTAAAAAAATTCTAGAAGTCTTTCTAGATGTAGAAGTACTTCTAGACAACTTCTACTACATATTATATTATTTATTCAATTTATTTCTTCTTTTCAACCAATTAAAAATTTACACATGTCAAATTAAACCATCTTTAACATTAACCATTGGAGACATAATTTCTTAATCTCCTTCCTTCATGCCATGCAACTCAAAATGGACAAGATACCATTGGAGATGCTCTTAGAGCTTCTATTGGTCTGTGTTAATGGGGAATTAAATGGTTAATCATTTAATCTACATTTTGTCCATTGTTGTGTATTTCTGTTTTTTTTTTTAATAATAAAAAGTGTATTTATTTTTATATTCTAAGAAATAAAAAACTCCCAATCCACAATATATGGGATGATGGTTCGAAGAGATGTCTTTTATGTGTATTTATGATTCTATAAGAAAATGATTAAATTTCAACAATAATATATTTCAAAAGAATTGTAACGATAACTCAAATTTAATGTTATAACTTTAGAATATTTTAAGAAAAATATATCATAGTAAAAATAGATTTTCATTGCAATTTTTTTTGGA